ATTTATTAAATCTTATTGATTTTATGAGTTAATTAATTATAATTAATGTATTGTACAAGGAATAAATGCTAGTTACTAAAATGATGACTCCACACTTTACATCATGAAAAGTTAACAATATTAAATATGTAGAATTTATTTTGAACAAGTTCCATTAAGAAATTAACAAATATTCATTAGTGAAATAATAAGTTAAATTAATGTTATAAGTTGTCCACTCCATATAGTGTAACAAGCCAAAAATATTAAATATTAAATATCTATATAAGGTATCGTTAAGGTGTTCTCAAAGTAAATTCATAGAAACACATTATTGAAATAGCAAGATATATTAGAGTTTTAACAAATTTGCTCTATATTGTAATAAGTCAATAAAATTGAATATATACAAGGTATTATTAATATGAATAATAACTTTGCTAATGAATTAACAAATATGCTTTTGTAAGAAGATAGGTTAAAGTTATAATAAATCCATTTTATGTTTAAGAAATGAAAGATATTTTAGTCATTTCCTATTAAAATATATTTCCAATTCAATCTCTTTGCTCAGTCATGTATTTTCATATTCTATAGAATTCTAATGTAAAATTGAACTCCGTCAAATAACAAAATGAAAGTAAATTAAACTCCCACAAGAATACTTTTCTGAAATCCTCTCCCTCTTCTATTTTATCCACAGACACTAAAGTATTGTTGACACAATAATGAGACATACAGAAATAAATGAGGAGTAAAAAGCATGCTTTTCTTGTCTAATTTATAGAGGTGAGAAAGAAGATTAATATTATTCTTATTTATAGAGTATTTTATTATTTTTTTATATCCATCTTTACCTTTATGCTCTCTTTAAATATTAGAAAAAATTATTAAAAATATTTTTTTCTTGTTAGGAGATAAAGGTGAAAGTTTATTAAATTTTTAGATAGAGTTAGTGAAATTTAAATTTTCCTTCACTCTTGGTTAAACATGATAGGAGTCATCTATAAAAAAAAATTGGAGAGAGTATCATATTTCAATATATTAATTATATTTCTCAGTTTATGCACACTAATTTTAATGGACAAATGTTTGAAAATGAAATTAGTATTTTAAATTGAAGTTTTACTTATAAAATTAATGAATCGGGGAATATAAGACATGATATTCTCCCCAATGCTTTTAACGCTGGATCGGATGGTTGGACTGGTTTGGCTGTTGATTGGTAGGAGGCACGGCTCAGTTTCTTACTTTAAACTGTTTTAGCAATTGGACCAGATTGGATCAGTGCGGATCAAATTTTAAGCTGGAAACCTTTCAAGAACCAGAAACTAGGGGTGGCCAAAGGAAAGCCGGCTGGGTCTGAGATACGAGGAAAACTAAAATGATATTGTGAAAAAAAAAAATTTCAAGCCAAAACCCAAGATCAAAATGGAAGAGGACGGTCAACAATCTTCATACTTGGGCTCAGTATGTGGTTATGAAAGTGCTTTGAAGGAGAAAACAAGAGCAGGATATGCAAAAGAGATGAAGAATAGAAGACGAAGAAATGATAATTACATTATCTAAAACAACACCAGATAAAAATAATAGCATTTCTTCCTCTTCGTTTATATGGCACTAAGTATATTTTCGATACTGTGCGCTCGTTATCGCTGGACTGGAAAAATGAAAGTAGAAAACATAAATCTGATTATTTCAAACTAGAAAGAGAAAAGGAAGAAGAAAAGATAATGGTTAGAGTCGAAAATATGAGTCGGGTTATGTGGATTGGTCCGAATAACTGGTCATAGGGGTGTTCACAGGACGGGACGGGACCGAGACACCCCCGTCCCGTGTCCCGTCCCGAAAAAAAGATCGGGACTGAATTTTGGTCCCATGTCCCGTCCCGTCCCGATAGTCGTCCAGTCGCGTTAAGAGTCGGGACGGGACCAGGACAAGATCGAGACGTCCCGCCGTCCCGATAAATAGAATAATATCGAAAAAAGATTTGGATAATAACGTTCATTAAAATTTTAAATCATATAATTTATTAAGTTTAAAATCAGAACAACACAAGCACATAAATAACAATAATTTAAAATCAATTATTGAATTATATTAATCATAACTACATATTATAATAACAAATACAAGTGATCTTTATGTTATAAGATTAACAACAACAGGCAAGTCAAACACAACATCAAATCATTATTCTTCTACTTTAGTGAAGATGAACTAAGCTAATTATTCTTCTAAAAATAAGCAAGAAATATATTATAAATAAAGGTTATTAAATAGATACATATAAGAATAAATTATATTAATATAATTAATATATTATAAAGAAAGATATCACCATATTTACTCCATGCCATTAAAATTATCAATATAAAAAAACTTTAGTTTTAAATAAAAATTGCAAGTATTAAAATTATAATTGATATAATTAATATAAGTATAAATTATATTAATATAATTAATATATTTAAAATAAAAAATAATATATATAATATTCGGGACGGGACGGGACGTCCCGATAGTAATCTCGCGTCCCGTCCCGTCCCGAACCCCTTTCTTGTCTCGTCCCGTAAAGTCCCGTCCCGATTATTTTCGGGCCGGGACAAGACCCGTCCCGATCATACCGGGTTAATCGGGACGGGTCTAGGCTGAACACCCCTAACTGGTCATAAGGGTCAGGTTGAGTTGAAAAAAATTTGACTCAAATAAAAACGAGTATTTTTCTGGCCTGAACTGTATAACCTGTGAATCATATGGGTTAATCTTAATATGTTAGGGTTGGCTCGTTTAACACATATTACTGTTAAAAAAATTAAAAAAAGAAGAAAAAGGAAAAATTTTTATAAATATAAACTATATCAGGCATGATTTACATAGTTGTATCAATTTATATATTTTGTACAAATATTTTAAAATAATATTTTGATATATTTAGAATGAATTATAAAGAAATATTAAATTAAAACTTATTATTTTAGTATATTTTTTAAAAAATAATAAAAATTAATTAAAAAATGAGTTAGTTGGTTGGCTCATTTAGCTCGTAAATCCTTAAAGGTTGAATTGAATTGAGTTAAAATCTTTTTAACTCATATAAAAATAAATTAAACTTAATTCAATTCATATTTTTCTTAATTTACATAAGCTAACTCATATAAATCGGATTAGCCCATATTTAAGAATGGTGTTGCCGTGGTTCATTCGCTTAATTTTTTTTTTTCCCTTTTTGAGTGTGGAATGCAATGTACCGATAATTAATAATGAAACGGAGAGATGAAACCGAGACAAGACGTGAGATGACTCCTCATTTCTTTACTTTTTTGCACAATTTGTAACTTTTTATTTATTTATTTAAGTTAAATTAAATTTAACTTTTAAATTTTAAAATGATGATTATCATACAGATATATCCGCCTCCCAACATACATCGAAAGAGGCAGTGTAGATTTCTTCCCTTCTCCTATAAATACGTGTGTATTGTGTATTAAAAATTACAATGAAAAACTTATAATGTTTAATATAAAAACCATAAAAATAATAATATAATCTAAAATTTATTCATGTTATTTTTTTAATATTTGTCACATGTATTATTGTCAAGTGAGTTTGTTAACTCATTATAAATTTAGATTATTTAAATTTATTTTCTTAAAATTGTGATATTATATATATATATATATATATATTATTTTTATTTAATTATTATATTAATGGTTTGACTATTGGTCTAACTGGTTGAACAATAAAAACCATGACCTGTTAGCTTTTTCGGTTCAATGTCTGGTCCAACTTTTAAAATATTGATTCTCCCACTAACTTTTATAAATATAATAACCTTGGAAGAATTCTGTATTTAATATTATAAATCATTTTGCAAAAATTTGAGAATCATAGATAAGCAATACATTTATTTTAAAAATATCCATAATAAATAATAAAATTACCTAACCATAATATTTTTCTCATTCCTATTAATAGAGTTGACTGTATTTCATGAATGATACGTGTGTATGTATAATTCCTAATGGTGGGTGTAGATTAATAAGAATTTGGGTTTGAACTAAATTTTTTATTTAAGTAAAATTATGAATTTGAATTTGATTTAAATTTAAATATATTTCAAATTACTATAATTCATTAATAATTTTAAATTTTTTCTATACTTTAGTCATTTAAAATTTTAATTACTTTAAACATTTCTTTTATTTTTTTAACATTTTTATTATCGACACCTTTATGGTTATTATATATTTTCTCATATCTTATTGATTAAAAATATAAAAAAATTAATCATTTATAATTTTTTATTTTTATTTTGAATCTTGATTCTTTTTTTTTTTTTCATTTTTGAGCTTAAAAAATTTTAAATACATGAATTTTAAATGTAAAATATAAAATATAAAAGTTTTGATCCATATTAAACAGTTAAAAGCTTAAAAATAAGTTCTATAGATTAATAAAAAGATTATAATTTTCATTCATTTTTTTAAATTTATGGGCCTTGTTCACTGGAAAATGGACTCAAGTTTTATGGAAGAAAAATTAATATGTAATCTACATTTCTTTGGCTTAAAAATCTAGACAATTTTTCTTTGTTTGATTAATATATCTAGACTATTTTTCTAATTTTTCACAATTCATATAAACATCTCGAAATCAAAAGCTATATAATATTGGGTTGTTTTATTTCAAAATTTTATTTTTATCTTATCAACTATTAATTGCATGTATTTCAAATGAAAATATTTTTTCTTGCCAACCAAACTAAAACTTAATATTAATAAATTTAATAAAAAATAATATTAATAATATTTAAGAAAAACTTTAACAGGCAGAAATGATATTAATTATTGATTGCGTGAAAGTTGGTGGAAATGATAACTGTCTTTTCATGATTTTCGGCGGAAAAAAAGTTCATTAATTAAATTAAATAATTAAATAAAAAACTGAAATAATAGCACTCTAACGGGCAGAAATGATATCAATTATTGATTATTGATTGCTGATGATTCAGCGAGGGTCGGTGGTTTGTGGCGTCTCGGACAACCTGTCGGGAAGTAGATTTTGGTTCTTCCTTTTTCTCTCCCTCTCTTCTGAGTCAGTTGGCGCAAGACGGTTTTGGGTGAAAGAGAAAGGCGCTTTCGGTGAAAGAGACAAGCCTTAGCGGTGACTATTTTCATGCATTTTCCTTATTTAATTTTTCCCTAATACCTATATCAAATAATGAAGCCAGAAAGCAAGCTCCACCGGTGTTATGGGTGGGTATATTTATCCTGTACAGGTAGAGGGTCAGGGGTACTCGTAGAATTTAGGGTAATAAGCATTGATGTAAGCAATGAACTGACTAATCCTACTCAAACAAATGAGCTACTTGGACATGGTAGGGAGTAGTCCCTCCGGTTTCTCAAGGCTAATTATGTAGTCCTCAGGAAATTCTCAAATTGCTAATGGGATACGGAGTTCCGTGTGCTTCTTCAAAGCCATTTCCCCAAATTGCTCAGTAAACCCTATCCTCACTTGTTTTCGATGTGCATCATAGCCTATACAGGCGTGGTTATCAACGGGGCAGTCTTTCCTTTACTTCACATCATCCTCTCTTTTGTTTGGATTTTCATGCCTCTCTGCCTCTAGTTTATCTTTAAGTCACGTAGTGCCTCTGCCTTGAGGCTTGACTTTTTCCCACCTCACTAGTAAAGGTAATAAGTTGGAGGGATCTAGAGTCCTTGAACATGAGATGTGATGTTTCATCCCTTTTGGCTTCCTTTACCTTAGCCCAAGGAGCATATGACGATTCACTTTTTGATGAATCATATACGTTGTCTGTTTTGTAGGTTGGTTCATTTTTTATGATTATATACGTTGTCTTTTTTGTAGATTGGTGCGTTTATGATGATGGTTTAATTTTAGTGGTTAGTTTAGTTAGTTTATGGATGCTTTGTCTTTTGTTTGCTTTCCAATTTTGATGTATGGTTATCAATCTTTATTCATGTTAAGAAGGGCATTTCTAAGGTTCTAACATTCATTTTTATCTTGCCTTTTTTTTTTTTTAGCATGTGGATCACCTACATTTATTTTGCAAGTATTTTAAATTCAGACTCATTTTGGCTTTTAAAGAATAAAAAGCTTACGGTGCAACACATTCTCTGGGTGGTGTGGTTTTTGCTGTGAATGTTCTGGATGGAGGTATAAACTTTCCATTATTTGAAATTATTCTTCTCATACTCTTTTTCCAAGGCTGAATTTGAACCCTGTTCCTTGCATCATTCTATCACTTGTCTATTGCTTGAGTGTGGTTGAGAAATATTGTCTTATTATTTATTTATAAATAAATTATTTGGTGGTGGCTTTTCAATTCTAGAAGCTTTGTTTCTTGAAGGAAAATTTTAAAGAGCAACCTTCAATGCCGCCACTATTTTAGCTTCTTACTATTTTGAACCAAATATGCCTTTTGATAGTGATACATGTACTTCGTGTTTTTTATTTCTCTGTTTCCTTTTTCGTCCTCTGTCTCTATGGTAATGTTTTTTCTCCCTCAAAATGTTTTTCTTGTAATCCCATTCACTGGTTGACATTGCTATTATAGAAGTTGGTCTTGAAGGTAGAGAAGACTCAACCATGTGGTGTAGTTTTATTATGGTATAAGTGAAATTGATTTCTTCACAATTTTCATTTATACTCATCTTTTGCTTAAATGTTCTTTAATCAACTCTTACAAAAGATGCTTGAAAAAATTGTCACCTTTATTTCAATCATCTTTTTTCAATAGGGAATCCCAAAGTCAGAATGAAACATTTTAATTTAGAATTGTAAACGATTAATGAATTGTATCTTGGTTCATTTTTTATGATTAGGGACGTCTTTTTTGTAGACTGGTGCATTTATATGATGATGGTTTAATTGCAATGGTTACTTTTTGGATGCTTTATCTTCTTTTGTTTGCTTTCCAATTGTGATGTGTGGTTATCAATCTTTATTCATGTGAGGAAGGGCATCTCTAAGACTGTAACATTCATTTTTATCTTTATTTTGTTTTTAAGCACATGGGTTACCTACATTTATATGGTGTTTTAAATTCAGAATCTTTTTGGCTTTTAAAAAATGAAATGCTTATTGGGCAACACAATCTCGACGTAGTGTGGTTTTTGCTGTGAATGTTCTGGATGGAGGTACACATTTTTCATTATTTGGAATTATTCTTCCCGCACTCTTTCGAAGACTGAATTTAAATTCCAGCCCTTGCGTCATTCTCTCACTTGGCTACTGCTTGAGTGTTCTTGAGATATACTGTCTTATTATTTATTTATAAATAAATTATCCAGTGGTGGCTTTTCTATTCTAGAAGCTTTATTAAGAGCAGCCTTCAATGCCCCCATTATTTCAGTTTCTTATTATTTTGGCCTTAAAATGATTTATCTGAACAAGTAAGCACTACAAATGGGTTTTTATTAGAGGCGGACTAATCAATCTAAGCATGAGCAAGGGTTGGTGAATTCCCTTTCCAAGAATATTCTTCCTTCCTGTTTGGTAGGTGCCCAAAGAATATATTTTACTTTGCAATATGCTGGATCAGTTCTTGAGTTCTATTATTCTGAAGATGAAGTCATTGACCTTAACCATTTTGTCCTTCCTGTTTTTTACTTCAATATTTCCTTTTAGCCTCTATCTCTATGGTAATGTTTTTTTTTTTCTTTTCCCCTCAAAATGTTTTTCTAGTATTCCCATTCACAGGTTGACGTTGCTATTATTGAAGTTGGTCTTGAAGGCAAAGAAGACTCAACCAATGTGGTATAGTTTTATTATGGTATAAGTGAAATTGATTTCTTCACAATTTTCATTTATACTTCCTACTTGCTCAAATGTTTTTTATTTAACTCTTACGAAAGATGTTTGAATCCTAAAGTCAGAATTAAAAATATACATTTAGAATTGTAAGCAGTTGATGAACTTTAGCTAGAATAAAATATTAACGATTAAAATTGATGATGGACCTAACGGATTATGGAACTAATTTCCTTGGCTTTTCTTCTCTAGGGATGGATCACGTGGAGGTCTTGGGTGCATATCCTCATGCTTTGCATTTAGTTGACTTGTAGATCTGCACTGGCAATGTGGTGTCTGGCATGCAAATAAAATTAATTTTGTATTTTTTTATTTTTATCAATAAATGTGGATGTCCAAAACATGGACAATATGTTTTTTTTAAAGTTAATTTCTTGAAATTAAGCATGAGATACTCTTGCACAGATAGTTTCACACAAGTCAAGGATTTCCCTGGTATGAAACTTATATACTCTATGCAATCAAATTTGCTAGCATTGACTTTATTTTGAAATTGTTTATTTATTGCAATAGTTTTCCAATTATTTGAATTGGCGGTCCTCCTCCTCCACTATTTTTCTTATTGTTTCTAAGATGAATCAATTTCTTTTTTCTACTTTAGCCTAAAATTCCTGAATTTTTTGAGTCCCACAATATTCTGATGCAATGGATGGTATTCTTGAGAAGGCCAATGAACTCATAGTAATCTTTATTCTTGATCATATTGACCACTATGATTTGCATCTGGAAAAGAGCATAGCAAGGTTGTTACTTACCAATGCTAAACAGAAAAGTAGTGAAATTTGTATGGCCAATGGCTTTTAAACTCGCTTGAATCTTGATGTGATTTTGATCAACTTAAAGTTAACCATGAAAAGTCTTCATGGTTCTATTTAATGGTTTGGTTTTTGTTGGGAGGTGCGGATTAGTGGGGATATATTTTATATATATCTGTGTGTTGTTATTATAAATATTATTATTATTATTAATTCATATGTCCTTGGTTAGTTTTAGATATATATTCTGTTAGTATTTTATATCTTAGAAGAAAAATCTAAGATATTAGGAATTATTAAAAGATACCTATGATCCTAGGGTTAGGGTTATGCTGCTGCTATACAAATGCCTAATTCACTGAGCTTTTCTTTTTCATCATATACCAATTTTCCCCTATCTTTATGATTTAATTATTTAAATGAAATATGTCCTTAATATTTTTATTTACCATTGGTATTCTCATGCATTTTTTTATCATTTATTCTAGTCATAAAGTGAAAGATTCTTGATTATCAAATCTCCTTGAAGGAGTGGATCAAAATTAACCATGTTACACCAACTAGTTCAGCAAGTAGTAGATCTCATTAGCCATTCGGTATCTTTTTGGGCTATGCTCTATCCTTAACACTCCTATGGGAAATCTTGAAGGGGCTTATAGTGATGTATAATCTTGGGCAAAGGAGAATAGAGTTGAATTTGAATTGAATGCATTAATATAGTATACTAGTGTCTTACATGATTTCCCTTGTACTAAGGTGAAATTGACAAGTTAAATTCATGCACATTGTTAGACCTAGAAGTAGCAATAAACCATTTAATGTCATGACTAGATTCGGATTATTGCAGCTGTAGAGATTGTTTAGGTTATTCAAAATTGATGATCTTAATTTGGACTATTGCAGCTATTATTAGAGTTTATTCTGATTATTCAAAATCGATTATCTTGAAATTATGCACATGGCTAGACCTAAAAGTAGCAATAAACCAATTAATGTCATGATGAGATTTGGATTATCACATTTGTTACTATTTTTTCAAAATTGATACTCTTAATTTGTTTCTTTTTTTCTTCTTCCAACCATTCTCTTGTAAGTTATCACTTGACTTAGATATGTTATTCTATTACTATCATGCACACTCAATCCTTATCATTTGTAAATTACTCTTGCGTTTGATATATTAGTTTTCTTTTGTTTTTTTTAAAGCAGCCAAACCAAATAAGGCACCAAAAAGAGAAAGGTAATGAAATCAATCTAGAAAAAAAGAACATTTTAGGAGTGATGACTTCTAAGCTTTTCTCTTTTTTGATCTTTTATACTTTCCATATTTGCCCATTTATGATTTTCGATCTCTTTTGGTTTATGGTTTGCTTGCTGATTTTTGTGTATATAGATAGATGTGGTTTGGCGACTGGGTCCTAATTCTATTAGAACCTCCCTTGGTTAAGAGAAGGACACAACTGAGTGATGTTTTGGGTTTCATGAGATACAAATAACAGAGAGGTGATACAGAGAATGAAGAGAAAATTAGATTGAATAGACTTATATTATTAAGACAATTCACACGTGTATATATATAGAGAGGGTACTAATGTAGTATTTTAAGACATGATAGTCTGACAACTATAACTAACTAACTGCTATAACATAATATTTGGTAAAACTAAAGACTATCACTCTGACTCTATTCCTAACACTCTCCCTCAATTCCACCTGAGAGTAACCCTCCCTTAAACCTGACATGTCCTATATAGTGCATTTTGTATCATTATTCTCTCCCTTAAACCTAATGCACCCTAAGTAGTGCATTTTGTAACATTCAACTATTTTCTGAAAGTAGAAAAAGTTTTATTTGTTGCTGCCTTTGTTATAATATTAGCCACTTGTTGAGTTGAAAAATGCATGACTTGTGGTTCTTTATGATCACCTTTTCTGTTACAAATTATAGATCCAATTCAACATGCTTCATTTTGGGGTGTAATAGGATTGGATGATTAATAACATCGCATACAAGTTATCACAATAGACAACTAGGATTGAAAGTGTTTGTTGTATGTAGGTCATGAAGTGGTGACTAAATCCATGCCAATTTGTTATAATATTAGCCACTTGTTGAGTTGAAAAATGCATGACTTGTGGTTCTTTATGATCACCTTTTCTGTTACAAATTATAGATCCAATTCAACATGCTTCATTTTGGGGTGTAATAGGATTGGATGATTAATAACATCGCATACAAGTTATCACAATAGACAACTAGGATTGAAAGTGTTTGTTGTATGTAGGTCATGAAGTGGTGACTAAATCCATGCCAATTTGTTATAATATTAGCCACTTGTTGAGTTGAAAAATGCATAACTTGTGGTTCTTTATGATCACCTTTTTTGTTACAAATTATAGATCCAATTCAACATGCTTCATTTTGGGGTGTAATAGGATTGGATGATTAATAACATTGCATACAAGTTATCACAATAGACAACTAGGATTGAAAGTGTTTGTTGTATGTAGGTCATGAAGTGGTGACTAAATGCATGCCAATTTAGCAGCTGCATTGGCCAAACTTTTATACTCAATACTCAACCTCTGTATTGAATGTAGAAACCACAAATTGCTTCTTAATGATTAAAAAGTCATGTTTTTTTCCAAGAAATTGAACTTTGGTCTTGCACAAAATTTTTATTTTGTTTCTTGCATAATCTAAGTGAAGGAATAACACTTCTCCTGTTCCTTTCCTTTATTTTCCCTAAAATTAGAATTGATAAAAATTTGATGGGAATAGGTCCTCCATCATTCCCTTTCTTAGTTTCTCCTTACTAAATTAAGACGGACCAGACAAGGGTTAGAATGTTATGGAGAAAATTCCCTTTCTTTCTTCTCCATTCCATCTTTCACTTTTTTTTCTTGGTAGGGGTCAGTTATAACAACTACACGCACCCACACATATTTATAGTCATTCCCAAAGGAAGGAAACACAACCCTCCACTCGCTCTAAGATTTGAACTTGCATCCTCCCTTCTACAGGAGGAGCAAAGGCACCATTGTGGCACGTGGGCCACTGACTCTTTCACCGTAGTCTAAAAAGCTCAAGGGCCTTTTTAGATCTTTTTCTATAAAGTCCCTTAACCTTTTTTCTAATGTTGCATTCATAATTATTTTGTACTTTTAACTATGTATAGTTATAAATCTCATATGTTTTATATGTCATAAAGTCATTTTTCTTGATTAGTGGCAACAGTTGCTTTAAATAAAATGGTAATAGTGGAGCACTACAATTGACCCTGTTATGCAAATATTAATTTGTGCTAAGAAAAGTTGCATTGCCATGATTCTATATCAGAAAGTTGTAGTCTCTATAAACATTTTTTCTTTATGAATAATGATAACCTAACTTGTTGGTTTACCTGTTAAATATATGAACTTTTGTCCTTTGTCTTGGTTGAAACTCTAGAATTCTAAATTATATCCATTTAACCAGTCTCCATTTGCTGTGTAAAAATGGGTTATTCAATTTCAAGGGAAATACATTCTAGAAGATGTTGTGAATAAGATGCACAATGGGTAACCCTCTACTCTAAGAAACGTCAAACAAGCAAAAAACTAGAAAAATACACTGCAAATGGGACTGAAAATAATAATGGAGTTGCCTGAAAATTACAGAGTAAAGTACCAAATTCACTTCATTGAATAAAACCATAAAATATAAATCAATCCCTCGCTAACACACACTAAGCAAAAAGACAAAAATGATGAAGAAAGATTATCTTCTTCCACCCCCAACCTGACATTTGAGAGGCCAAAAATCTCCTCACCACTCTTAAAATTCAAGAGACTCCACACCCTTCCCTCTACATGGAAGGAAAAATTTAGAGAGCCAAAAAGTGATGATTACCCCTGCTGGCACTACCTATACCTTTGGCTACACCTAACCTCACTTGTCCTTTACTATTTTAATCCTACAGATAAAAACTATCGGATGCCTCTTTAGAAAATTATAATATTTTTAATCCTGGAATCACCAGCTCTACCATATGCCTCTTTAGGAAACTTATAATATTTTTGTCTAAATATTGTTCTCTTGTTTGTTGCAAGTGTTCTCTTATATCATTATTTGGGCCATGGATCCCATGGCCATGGCTGAAGGTCAAATGAAGATAATGTTCAAAGAGTGAGTGATAGGAAATATGGCAAATATTATTCTAGAAGGGAATAAATTACCAAATTGCTTTTGCATTATTTTGTATTTTGTAAGTTTCCTGTAAAGAAGGAAATCTGAACTTACTTTCTACTTTTTACTGTTACTTTATATTTTATTATTTTGCAAGTTGTTTAGCTTCCTTAAGGGCAAGGAAAGCTTAGTCTACAAATAGACTAAGTTAGCACTTATATTGGACACTTTGATGATGAATAAATACTATAAATCTAAAAGCTATCTCTCTCTCAGTCCCTCTTTTTCTACCTCCTTCCCCCTCTACTGCTCTGCCTTCATCTTTTTTATTTCTCCCTCTTTGTATTTTGTCTCTTCTCTCCCTCTTTGTTCTCAATCTCTCACTCTGTTTCTATTGCATCTCCCTTTTCCTATTATGTTCAAGTCAGTGTGAGTATGCGTATGTGTGTGTTGCATCAATTTAGTATCAAAGCTTGGCTCTAAGTGCTCTTAGGTTGTTCTCGTTTCTAGAGATTGGAGAAAATTCACTGGAAAGTCTTGCAT